TTTTTTTTTTTTTCTAAGTAGAGTCTCAAGCTTGTCACCCTGTGTAGAGTATTGTGGCATCACAGCTCACAGCAACCTCCAACTCCTGGGCTTAGGTGATTCTCTTGCCTCAGGCTCCCAAGTAGCTAGGGCTATAGGCACCCGCTATAATGCCCAGCTATTTCTTTTGTTGTAGTTTCATTGTTGTTTTAGCTGGCCCAGGCCAGGTTCGAACCTGACAGCCTTGGTGTACGTGGCTGGCACCCTACCCACTAAGCTATGAGTGCTGCCCTATTATCTATATCTTTAATTTTATCTTTTATATCAGACAAATAGGGTAGCACATGTTTGAATGTACTACAGAATATATGTAGGGAACGTATATTTTCCTATTTATTTTAAAGCAAAGGCTAAAAAATGAAGAGCTTATTCGGTTAGCTGAAGAAAGGCGAAAAGAAGCTGAAAGAAAGAAGAAAGAAGAAGAAGAAAAACATAACTTGCAACTTCAGCACTACTATGAAAGAGAAAATGTGATTGGAGAAGAAACAAAGGTACGCTTCAGACCCAATGTCAGTTAGACCCATAGTTTAATCCACTTTCACTGTGAACATTGTGGAATTTTTACAAAAAGGGGAGAAGTGTCTTTAGTTTTATTCTGTCTTACTGGTTCGCCTGGGCACACTGTGCTGAACCTCTTACGTGAGATGCTGGGGCTGTGCTTTGTTGTTGGTATTTTCTGCTTACCTCAGCCATTCTCAGTCCTGTTCCCATGGGCTGCAGTGGAGCCTGCAAGACTATGGCCAGCACCCTGTGAACTTTTACTGTTCATGACAAGACTAAACACAGGAATTGAGAGTGTTTGGAAACTGTTACAACAACTTGTCAAAGTAACTTTATGTCTGTTCAGTCTATTAATGAAAACATTGGGCCCGTATTTTATATGTCTTTAAAACTTTTTCATTTATCTAGTAATTTGTTCATATTCTATTTATACAATTATCCATGATGGTTTGGAAATTTAACAAGAAGCTGATAGTTTGGCACACACTAGTTCTGAAGTTTGTATTTCTGAGATAAGGGATTGATAATTCAGCATTAGGCACATGAATCAAAGTTATGGGGCAGAGGTTTTCTCTTTAGAAAGCTCATTGGCCCTAATGAGGATTTAGTTTGCTTATATCTCAGTTCCATTTAAAATTTTATATGCTTAAATGTTCCTGGGGGCTTGTTAGAAGTACAAGTTTCTGGATTCTCACTTGCAAGGTGATTTACTAAGTTTGAAAGAAGTTCAAGAATCTGCATCGTATGAGCATTTTTAGGGATTTGGATGCAGTTGGCCAGGAGACCATACCTAGAAAAGCCCTGTATATCTTTTAAATTTAACCCAGTTAAATGTAAGAAAATTGTTTTCAGAAATTTGTATTATACATTCTATCTATTAAAGCAGACTTCACAAAAAGGCTCCTTTATTTTTTTTTATATTTACTTTTATTTTTTTAGTCTCTCTTAAAATTGTGTCTTGCCCCCAAAAGGTGTGTCACACACCAAGACCCCACTCCCCCTCCTTCTCTCTCTTGGTTCTTCTTTTCCCCGACCCCTTCCCCCTTATTTCTCTCTCTGCTCTCCCCTTCCTCCACCCACACTGTGTCATTAATTGTCCTCATATCAAAATTGAATACATAGGATTCATGCTTCTCCATTCTTATGATGCTTTACTAAGAATAAGGTGTTCTACTTCCATCCAGCTTAATACAAAGGATGTAAAGTCTCCATTATTTTAATGGCTGAATAGTATTCCATGGTATACATATACCACAGCTTGTTTTTTTTGTGTTTTTTTTTTTTAATTTTTTGCAGTTTTTGGCCAGGGCCGGGTTTGAACCCACCACCTCTGGTATACGGAGCCAGAGCCCTACACCTTGAGCCACAGGCACCGCCCATATACCACAGCTTGTTAATCCATTCCTGGGATGGTGGACATTTAGGCTGTTTCCACATTTTGGCAATTATAAATTGAGCTGCAATAAACAGTCTAGTGCAAGTGTCCTTATGATAAAAGGATTTTTTTCCTTTTGGGTAGATACCCAGTAATGAGATTGCAGGATCAAATTGGATAGGGTCTAGCTTGGGTTCTTTGAGGTTTCTCCATACTTCCTTCCAAAAAGATTGTATTAGTTTGCAGTCCCACCAGCAGTGTAAAAGTGTTCTCTTATCTCCACATCCATGCCAGCATCTGCAGTTTTGAGATTTTCTGTGATGTAGGCCATTCTCTCTGGGGTTAGATGGTATCTTGGGGTGGTTTTGATTTGTATTTCTCCAATAATTAGGGATGATGAGCTTTTTTTCATATGTTTGTTTAGCCATTCGTCTGTCTTCTTTAGAGAAGGTTCTATTCATGTCTCTTGCCCATTGATATATGGGGTTGTTGGCTTTTTTCATGTGGATTAACTTGAGTTCTCTATAGATCCTAGTTATCAAGCTTTTTTCTGATTCAAAATATGCAGATATCCTTTCCCTTTGTGTAGGTTGCCTATTTGTTTAGATTGTTGTCTCCTTAGCTGTACAGAAGCTTTTCAGTTTAATTAAGTCCCATTTGTTTATTTTTGTTGTTGTTGCAATTGACATGGTAGTCTTCTTCATGAAGTTTTTCCCCAGGCTGATATCATCCAGTGTTTTTCCTATGCTTTCTTTGAGGATTTTTATCATCTCATGCCTTAAAATTAAGTCCTTTATCCATCTTGAATTAATTTTTGTGAGTGGAGAAACGTGTGGGTTCAGTTTCAGTCTTTTACATGTGGATATCCAGTTCTCCCAGCACCATTTATTGAATAGGGAGTCTTTCCCCCAGTGTATGTTCTTGTCTGGTTTATCGAAGATTAGGTGGTTGTAAGATGTTAGTTTCATTTCCTGATTTTCTATTTCATTCCAAATGTCTATGTCTCTTACTTTTGTGCCAGTACCATGCTATCTTGACCACTATGGCTTTATAGTACAGCCTAAAATCTGGTACACTGATGCCCCCATCTTTGTTTTTATTACTAAGAACTGCCTTAGCTGTACAGGGATTTTTCTGGTTCCATACAAAATGCAGAATCATTTTTTTCCAAGTCTTGAAAGTACAATTTTGGTATTTTAATAGGGATGGCATTGAATCGGTAGATTGCTTTGGGAAGTATAGACATTTTAAAAATGTTGATTCTTCCCAGCCATGGGCATGGTATGTTCTTCCATTTGTTAATATCCTCTGCTATTTTCTTTCTTAGGGTTTCATAATTTTCTCTATAGAGGTCCTTCACCTTTTTGTTAAGTATATTCCTAGGTATTTCATTTTCTTTGAAGCTATAGTGAAGGGAGTTGTGTCCTTAATTACCCTCATATCTTGGCTGTTATTGGCGTATACAAAGGCTACTGATTCGTGGACATTGATTTTATATCCTGAGACATTACTGTATTTTTTGATGACTCCCAGAAGTCTTATAGTTGAATTTTTGGGATTCTCTAAGTATAAGATCATATCGTCAGCAAAGGGAGAGTTTGACCTCCTCTGTTCCCATTTGGATGCCCTTTATTTCCTTGTCTCACCTAGTTGTATTGGGTAGAACTTCCAGCACTATGTTGAATAGTAATGGTGACAGAGGACAACCTTGTCTGGTTTCAGTTCTAAGTGGAAAAACTTTCAGTTTAACTCCATTCAGTAAGATATTAGCTGTGGGTTTGTCATAGATAGCTTTGATCAGTTTAAGAAATGTGCCACGTATGCCTATACTCTTCAACATTCTAATTAGAAAAGGATGCTGGATTTTATCAAATGCTTTTTCTGCATCTATTGAGAGGATCATATGGTCTTTGTTTTTGTTTCTGTTGATATGGAGAATAACCTTTATGGACTTGCATATGTTAAAGCAGCCTTGCATCCCTGGGATGAAACCTACTTGATCATGATGTATGACTTTTTTTTTTTAATTTTCCTTTCATTTTCTTTCTTTTTTTTAGGAGACAGAGCCTCACTTTGTGGCCCTCAGTAGAGTACTGTGAAATCATAGCTCACAGCAACCTCCACTAACCCTTGGGATCCTTGGGTTTAAGTGATTCTCTAGCCTCAGCCTCCCAAGTAGCTGGGATTGCAGGCGTCTGCCAGAACGCCCCGCTATTTTTGGTAGAGATAGAGTCTCATTCTGGCTCATGCTGGTCTTGAACTTCTGAGCTCAGGGCAGTCCACCCACCTTAGCCTCCCAGGGTGCTAGGATTACAAGCGTGAGCCACCACACCCAGCCGATACATGACTTTTTTGATGATAAACTGTAATCTATCAGCTAGGATTTTGTTGAGAATTTTTATATCTATATTCATTAGTGAAATTGGTCTGAAATTCTCCTTTGTAGTTGGGTCTTTTCCTGCTTTTGGTATCAGGGTGATGTTTGCTTCGTAGGACATGTTGGAGAAGATTTATTCCTCCTCAATTTTGGGGGAATAATTTCTGCAGTACAGGAATAAGCTCTTCTTTGAAGGTGTGATAGAATTCTGGTGTGAAGCCATCCAGACCAGGGTACTGTTTTGTCGGGAAGATTTTTTATTGTTTCTTTGATCTCAGTGCTTGAAATTCGTCTGTTCAGGAGATCCATTTCTTCCTGGCTAAGTCTAGGGAGAGAGTATGATTCCAAATATTGATCCATTTCCTTCATATTGTCAAATTTCTGGGTATAGAGTTTCTTGTAGTATTCAGAGAAAATCATGTATCTCTGTGGCATCTGTTGTTATTTCCCCTTTATCATTTCTCATTGAGGTTACTAGAGATTTGACTTTTCTATTTCTAGTTAGTCTGGCCAAAGGTTTATCAATTTTATTTATTTTTTCAAAAAACCAACTCCTTGTTTCATTAATTTTCTGAGTGATTCTTTTTGTTTTCAATTTCATTAATCTCTGATTTAATTTTGGATATTTCTTTTCTTCTGCTGGGTTTAGGCTTAGATTGTTCTTCTTTTTCCAATTCCATAAGATGGCTTCTGAGTTTATTGACATGCTCTCTCTCTTTCTGTGTTTTGGATGTAGGCATCTAAAGCGATAAATTGTCCTTTCAGAATTGCTTTTGCAGTATCCCACAGGTCTTGGTAGCTTGTGTCTTCATTGTTGTTATGCCCAAGGAAGTGAATGATTTCCTTTTTTATTTCTTCCTGCACCCAACTGTCATTCAGCATAAAGTTGTTTAATTTCCATGTCTTTGTGCGGTGTTGAATGTTTTTGTTGGAGTTCCACCTTTAGTGCCTTGTGGTCTGAGAAGATGCAAGGTAAAATTTCAATTCTTTTGAGGTTTATGTTGTGTCCTAGGATATGATCAATGTTGGAGAATGTTCCATGGGCCAACCAGAAGAATATATATTCTTTATCTGTGGGATGGAGTATTCTATATGCATCTATCAAGCGCAGTTGTTCTAGGTCTCATTTAAGTCCCTTATATCTGTGTTTAATTTCTGTTCAGAGGATCTGTCCAGCTCTGTAAGAGGAGTGTTAAAGTCCCCTGCTATTATGGTGTTATAGGATATCATGTTGCTCAGATTCTTAAAGGTCTGTTTTAAGAATCTGAGAGCATAAATATTTAGAATTGAAACATCTTCTTGTTGTATTTTTCCCTTGATCTATATAAAGTGACCATCTTTGTCTTTGTTGACTTTAGCTGCTTTAAATCCACATGTATCTGAAAATAAGATTGCAACCCCTCTTTTCTTCTGAATTCCATTTGCCTAAAAAATTGTCTTCCAACCCTTAATTCTAAGTTTTAATTTGCCTTTTGAAGCTAGGTGTGTTTCCTGCAGACAGGAAATGGATGGCTTGTGTTTTTCAATCCAATCAGCCAATCTATGTCTCTTCAGGGGGAATTCAAGCCATTAACATTTATTGAGATAAATGATAAGTGTGGTAGTGTTCTATTCATCTTATTTTGTGAGAGTTCATTGCTTAGTTTTATCTTTTGCATCATTATGGAAGTTAGATTCTGTCCTTTAATTTCTGAGTTCTTACTTTACTGTTGATCCATTGTGATGGTCAGTGTGCAGAACAGGTTGAAGTATTTCCTGTAGAGCTGGTCTTGTGGCAAATTTCTCAAGTTGCATATCATTAAATGATTTGATTTCTTCATCAATTTTAAAGCTTATCTTAGTAGGAAGTATTTCCTGTAGAGCTGGTCTTGTGGCAAATTTCCTCAGTGTTTGCATATCAGTAAAAGATTTGATTTCTCTGTCAATTTTAAAGCTTATCTTAGCAGGATATAGAATTGGGGGCTGGAAATTGTTTTAAGTAGATTAAAGGTAGATGACCATTATCTTCTTCCTTGAAAAGTTCCATTAGAGAAGTCTGTGGTCACCCTGATGGATTTGCCCCTGTAGGTCAATTGGTGCTTACTCCTGGCAGCTTGAAGCATCTTTTCTTTTGTCTTGACTTTACACAGATTCATCACAATGTGTCTTGGAGAAACTCTGTGAGAATTGAGGCAACCTGGGGTTCGATATCCCTCTGAAAGGAATGTATCAGAATATTTAGTGATATTTGGGAAATTTTCATTTGTAATATTCTCTAGTATGGCTTCCATTTCCCTGGGGTATTCTTCCCCTTCTGAGATACCTATACCTATGTTTGAATGCTTCATAAAGTCCCATAATTCTGTCAGTGAATGTTCTACTTTCTCTTTCTTCTTTTCTGCCTCTTTAACTTATCTGAGTTATTGCAAGAGCTTTGTCTTCTGCCTCTGAGATTCTTTCTTCTGCGTGGTCTAATCTGTTGTTGATACTTCCTCCTGCATCTTTAAGTTCCCTAATTGTCTGCTTCAGTTCCTTCAGCTCTGCTATATCCTTTCTATATTCTTCATATCGTTCATCTCTTACTGGATCGTTTTTGGATTTCCTTTTGGTTATTTTCCACTTTATCAGCAGTTTCCTTCATTGTTCCCATCATTTCCTTCATTGTTTTCATCATCTGTATTCTAAATCCCCTTTCTGTCATTTCTAACATTTTTTAATAGGTGGAATCCTGTGCAGTAGCTATGTCACGGTCCTTTGGGGGTGGGGAGGTTGCTCTGGACTGGTATTTCCTGTTGCCAGGATTTTTCTGCTGATTCTTCCTCATGAGTAAACCTTTCTTTTATGTTTCCTTGCCCTAATTTTCCTTTCACTTCCTCTTGCTCTGTAAGTTACCATGTCTCTGGACTAGGGTTTCGATGAGTCCTTTTGGTACAGGACCAGACAGATGAGAAGATTGAAGAGCAAGAAGGAAAAAAAGATTTAGGAAAAAAAAAGAGAGAGAGAAAGGAGAGGGGGTGAGTAAAAGGGAATATTGAAAAAAATAGCAGAGGCACAGAAAGGGGGAGACAGGAGCAATATAGGTGTACAGTAGGGTACTTTGACCCAACCTCTGGGGGTGCTGGGTTGGATGGTTCCCTTGAGATCAGCAGCTCTTTGCCAGCCTGTTCAGACACAGTACCCCACCTCCACCAAGAAGAGAGAAAAGACAAAAATGCTATAAATCAAACCAAAACAAGCAAACAGAAAAGTTTACGAGACAAAATTGGGGGAAAAACCAAATAATAGGGGTAGAAACAGTAATAAAAATGAGGTTCTGATTGTTAAAATAGGCAACAATGGAAAATTATATTTAAAGTAGAAAAATGAAGAACGAAAAGAAAGAAAAAAGGAAAAATCAGAGGGAAAATGTTGAAATTAAAAACCAAACAAAACCAAAACAAAGCAGTATATATATCTTGCTAAATATTGTTTGGGTAGCAGGTGATCTTCTAGGATATGAGATGTTAATCACAATGCTGATACAGCTGGACGAGATGGAGACTGGAGGCCTCTGCTGATTTCTCAAACCCTGCAGGCTGGAAAGCCTAAACCTCTCCTCAGCATGCTTAAAAGGCTTTTTAAACTGTTTACCTTGGCTAAGCAAAAGCCCAGGAAAGCACTTGTCACTGGGATCACTCCTGAAGTGGCTGCCCACTTACCCAGTGTGCCAAAACCTGTCTCACTCTCTGCCCCTGAAGGTCAAGGCTGTAAGGCATCTCAGTGCCTATCTTTAGACTGCTTAGTCACTAGATAGTTGCCCAAGGTCTCCCGCTTGATCCCCTTGCTCTGAGACCCTGAAGGTGGAGCTTGCTGGGGCAGTTCTCCCACAATGGCTCTGCATGGCCCACAGCTGAACACTATAGCTCCGTCTGGCTCAGCGGCTCAGTCGGGGATCCTAGACAACACTGAAAGTCCTCAGCACTCTCACCCAAGTTCTCCCAAGGTAGTTCGACTGAGTGCCACATCCAAAAAAACCAAAACAGCTCACAGGGACAGCCTTTCCTATTTGCAATCTCACTGCTGCTATACTTACAGCTGTAGGTAGGATTAGACCAATAGAACACATGCAACCACTTGCCCGTTCTCCACGGCTTTTGTCCTCCTCATGGGGTCCAGAAGTCTCTTGCTGACTGCTTCTGTCCCCAAAGGGTTGTTTCTGGGCAGATCCCACCAGCCAGAGATGCTTGGAGTCTTCTCTCCCCAGTCTCACCGTGCCCAGTTGCAAGCTCATACTTGGCCTCTATCTTGCTCCTCCTTATCCTTATGCTGAAGCCTTGACCCTTAGCACCTTGGAGAGTCACAAAAAGGCTCTTTTTAACCAGTGGACTCCTCTATATTTCCGCTGGTCTGGTGTAAACTGCATTAGCATGAGCTGTTTCTGATGGGCTCACATATGCTATTTGATTTCTCATCCCAGGCCTTTATGGTAATAGAAATGATAAGTACTCACAATTATAATTTATTAAAAGATTATTTAAAAGACAATTTATAAGTAAGTTCTATTTTTATGTTGGTATTGTTTTTCAGTATTCTAGGACTGCTAGGCAATAGCTTTCATTCTTAGTATAAAAGTTTGATATGCAGTTGTTCAGCCTTTTAAAGTTATTTTTCAAATCCCATGTCATTAATTTTTCTATCTATAAAGTTTATGTTTAGAGCAAAATTGCATATAAAACACAGAGAATTTTTTATTGCAAAATTCATCATTTAAAACTGAAAGAGAGTTATTAGTTTCCAACAATTGTGTTTCTGCCAGTTTCTTGTTGTGTTAAAAAAACTGCTATTCCTCAGGAATATAGAGTTTTGCAACACAGTTTAATTGTGAAGTACTATCAAGTTTTAAACTTTCTCCTGTTTAATGTGTTTTACCTTCTATTCTGAAATTAACATTTGTTTTTTTCAATTTTTGTGTGCCTGACACATATTTTTTAGTCTTACTCTTAGTTTTTATCTTTGTATAACGTATTTTCTAGTTGGCTTATATATTTATTGTATTTAGTTGAATTTTTATCCTAATATGTTAAGAGTTATAATCTTTAATTAGGGGTAGCTGAATCCCTTTATGTTCATCATAACCAGTATATTTGATGAGACTGATGAATTATCTGTTTTTGCTTTTGCTTCCTTGATGGTTATTTCCTTTTTTATTATGTGGACTCTGGCTTATTTCATTCTCTACAGTGTTTTTTAAATTATTATTATTTTTTATTAAGTCATAACTTTGTACAGCGATGCATTTATGGGGTTCAGTATACTGCTTTGATATACAGTGTGAAATGCTTACATTGAACTAAGTAAGACATCTATCACAATTACACTCATCTCTATAGTGTTTTAGAAAGCTTATATTGTTTTTATAATTCTGCATGTACTCTTCTAGAGGTTTTAAAAATGTAACACCATCTCATATGTTTTTAATTTTATTGAAGTCAATAGTGACTTTTCTGTCATGCACAAAAGAATTAAAATCCACACATACATTCTGCTGGGATTTTCTTTTGTTTTTACACCTAGATAATTATTTTTGCATTTTGTTGGGAATTTTCCTGTCTTCAGGGTTTTGCTTTTAATATGAAGTTGTTTGGGACCTTTAGCTTTGAATACACTATAAACTGAAATCTCATTTTCTTATGGAGACATTGAATGCCACCATAAACTGGAAAATCCCCTCATCCGTGATGCTATTGATGACGGGGCATCTGGATATTGGAGGTGGATTTCTATTGTTTTTCAGAAGAGGAGTTTCGTTTTTTGTATTGTCCTATTTCCTTTTTATTACTAAGATGATTTTGTATTTTGGCTATGTCTTTTTTCTTGCTTTTGTAATATCTGGTATGCTGTTGCTTTACTTGAGTGTGTTGATTTTTTTACCCTAATCTGAGAGTCATATTTTTTTGATAAGGATTCCAAATCCTTTTCATCATAAATAACATATTTGATCTTAGGTAATTGAATTTTTGACTTTTTTATAAAAAGTATTTTATTGAATAAAAGTACAAACAATCTGTACTTCTTAGATGGTCTTCTTAACTGTGCTAGGGGTGTATATATATGTGTGTGCATATATATATTCATACATACATATGTTTTTAAATTTTTCAGCGCTCAAGACAGCCTTCTCCTGTAGTTCCTGCTCTTCAGAACAAAATCTCAAGCAAACCCCAAAGACCTCCTTCAGTTGACAGCATCATAAGTTCCTTTATTCATGTATATACTTTTTGTTTTGATTTCTTTTCTTTTCTTTTTTTTTTTTTTGTTGTTATTGAGACAGGCTCTCATTATGTTGTCCTTGGTAGGGTGCTGTGGCATCACAGCTCACAGCAACCTCCAACTCTTGGGCTTAAGAGATTCTCTTGCCTCAGCCTCCCAAGTAGCTGGGACTACAGGTGCCTGCCACAATGCTTGGCTAATTTTTGTTGCAGTTGTCATTGTTGTTTTAGCAGGCCCAGGCTGGGCTTGAACCCGAACCCATCAGCCTTGGTGTATGTGGCTGGCGCCCTACTCACTGAGCTATAGGCTCCGAGCCATTTGTTCTGATTTCTTAATACTAGCTCAGTTATTTTGGATTTGGGGACTGAGATTTTCTTATTCATAATATTTGGATAGACTAAATTTTTTCAGATCTAGGCCAGACTTGGTGATCCTAGCAGTCTGGAAGGCCAAGGCAGGTGGGCTTAGGTGTTTGTTTGAGCTTAGGTATTTGAGACCAGCCTGAGCAAGAAAATTTCTACTAAAATTAGAAAAAACTACCAGGCATGATGGTGCATGCCTGTAGTCCCAGCTACTTTGAAGGCTGAGACAAGAGGATTGATTGAAGCTAGGAGTTTCAGGTTGCTGTGATCTACTATGATGCCATGGCACTCTACTCAGGGCAACAGCATAAGACTCAGTCTCCAAAAATAAATAAATAAATACATTTTTTCAGATCTGAAATACAGGTAATATGTACATTAATTTGTCTTATACTTCAGTTGTAACCAATAATACTTAGTACCCCAAAGTTTGATTCTCTTGACAAACCATAATTGAGCAAATAATTCTTGTCTAAGGCCCTCCCCTAAGATGGTCCTTTTTTGGGAAAATATATCTTCTAAGGCTGGATGTGGTGGCTCATGCCTATAATTGTGGCCCTGGGGCTGAGGTAGGAGGATCATTTGTAGGTAAGAATATAAGACCACCTTGGGCAACCAGGTGAGATACTGTCTCTTAAAAAAACTTAGCTGGGTGTGGTTTTGCACACTTGTAGTCCCAGCTATTCAGGAGGCTGAGGCAGGAGGATCACTTGTGTCCAGGCTGCAGTGAGGTATAATGGCGCCAGTGTGCTCCAGTCTGGGCAACAGAGCAAGACTCCATTTCTAGGAAGAAAAAAAAAGAAGCAAGGAAGAGGTTTCTGTCATAGGCTAAGAAGAAGGTGCTTGGAGAGAGGAAGAAGTTAGAGAAAGAGAATAATTGCAGGGGACGGGAGTCACTTATCGCACACAACACAGATGAAGGCTTCTCTTTGGAGGGGGAAGGGCTTTCCCAGTGTGCTGAAAGGGAGGAATAGATGCAAATGTGGTTCAGATGTGAGTGTGGACACACGTGTGTAAGTTCTGTAGGTTGGAGAGTGTGGAGTTTGATCTGTTGTACGTGTAGGCATCTCAGTGAATCACCCCCTTCAAGCTTCTGAGTAGGGAAGGCGTATGCTGAGCATGTCTTTGTCATTACTGTTCAACAGGAAAGTTCCATGTCCAGGGCACAGTCTCCTCCAGTCCCTGCCAGGAAAAACCAGCTCCGTGCAGAAGGTAGAGCTAACTATTTAACATTTGATGTAGATCATTTGTTTTTTAACTTTTTATTTTGAAATAATTATAGTGTCACAGAAAGTTGTGAGTTATAGAGAGGTGCTACGTCCCCTGACCCCATCTGCCCTCTGGTAGCACTGTAAGCAGCACAGTATTGCAGCCATGAAGCTGAGGCTGGTATGTCATTGGAGGGCTCTACAGACCGTCATCAGAATTCACCAGCTTTCACATGCATTTATGAGTGTCTTTGGGGGGGGGGGCTTCTTGCTTTTTTATTGGTATAATTAGTGTTAACCACCCCCGCAGTCCAGGCGTGGACCTGTCTCATCACTACAGAGGAACTGCCTTGTGCTGCCCCTTGTAGTCGTACTCCCTACCCAACGAACAGCTTTTAACTTTTAAAATTCCTGTATTATCAGAAATGTTTTTGTGGGTCTTAATGTTCATGAATATGATCTGTATAAATAAAACACTAAAATTATCTTTCATAAAAACATCTCTCTGAGAGTTTTAGCTTTAAGATAAGTTAAGTTTGCTTTAATGTTTAATCTTTTGTTCTTACACCTGTCTCTTTACTTATTTATCCATGGGAATTGGCAGAGGAGAAAAAAAATGTGATTATGGAATTATCAGAAATGAGGAAACAGCTTCGCAGTGAAGAGAGGCGTCTACAAGGGCAGTTGCTACACTTGGACAATGATGATGAAATTCACATAAGGCAAGTTTAGAATTGCAGTTTCTAGTTTTTCTTGAGTTCTTTTGTGTCACCTATTCAGTAATTCTATATTTTTGGAACAGATAAACTCATCTTCCTTACAATATTACTTTCCCTTTTTCAGTCTTCTTTGAAATCAGGTATAGAAATTTAGTACTCAAGGGAAATAATGACACAGGAATGGCAAGTGTCAGGGAAGGAATAATTACTGACAGTTGCATCTTAGAACTGTTTTAACATTTGCCTTCAATAATTAATGCTATTTATGAAATGCTTTTTTCCCAGCAAAATCACTTAGAGGCCACCAAACATTTCTGTTCCTTTTTGCCAGAAGGGCTCATAAATATTCTAAGCATTGTTTTTTTTTTAATTTTTATTAAATCATAGCTGTGTACATTAATGTTAATCATGGGGTACAATGTGCTGGTTATATATAAAATTTGAAATATTTTCATCAAACTGGTTAATGTAGCCTTCATGGCATTTTCTTAGTTATTGTGTTTAGACATTTATATTCTACACCTAGTAAATTTCACATGTACCCTTGTAAGATGCACCACAGGTGTGGTCCCATCAATTACCACTTCAATTTGTAATCTTTTACTAGCTTATAAAATTGATATAGTGGGTAGCTACTCTCTTGCTTTTTGAAATTTTTCTATTTTGAGATAATTTTAGATTATTAAAAAGTTAGAAATGTAGCACAGCACAGTTTCTATACACCCTTCACCCAGTTTTCCATTGTTAATATATTACCAGGATACATTTGTCACAACTAAGAGGCTGATACTAGAACATTACTATTAATTAAATCCCATAGGCTTTTTGGATTTGTTCAGTGTTCCCATTAACATCGTCTTTCTGCTGCAGGGTCTAGCAGAATGTACCGTGGTGTGTTTAGTTGTCATGTCTCCCAGTCTCCTCTGGTCTGCACGGTTTCTCAGTAACTGCAGATGTAGAAGCGTATTGGCCAAGTATCCTGTAGAATACCACCCAGTCTGGATGGTCCTGTGTTTTCTGATGACTAGACTGAGGTTTCTGGAATGAATAGCACCAGGTACTATTCTTAGATCACATCATATCATGTCACATGGCATCCCTGGAGATGCTGACCTTAGCCTTGGTTCAGATAGTGTTTGCCATGTTTTTCCACTGGAGAGTTAACTGGTCTTTGTTCATAAATCACTAAACGTAGCACACTCACAAGAGGTGGGGTGGGATTAAGTTCCATATCCTAGAGCAGAAGACCTCTATTTATGTATGTATGTATTTATTTATTTATCTTGTTGTTGCAGTTTGGCTGGGCTGGGTTTGAACCCACCACCCTGGGTATATGGAGCCAGTGCCCTACTCCCTGAGCCACAGGCCCCACCCCTCTGTTTATTTTTTAGAATTCTTCTGTAAGAAAGACTTGTCTTTTCTTTCATTTATTTATTTATTAAGTCATTTATTTATATCACTGTTGTCTCATGCATATTTATTTTATACTTTGGATTATAATCTACTACATTATTTATTTTGTTGGCCATTGGGAGCTATTTCAGGTTGGCAGCTGTGTTCTGTTGACATACTCCCATCCTTTCATTTTTTGAACACTTTCTCAGTTGCTAGTACAACATGCCTCAGGATCATCTTTTATTTTTCCTGCCTCAGGCCTAGAATCAACCATTTCTCCAAGGAGTACTGGTTCCTTTTGGAGAATGGTGTTTAGATACTAAGCTCTGGGCACTGGGTGTGCTTATTATTGGATGTCCTTGCTTCTAGGCCCTGTTAGTGAACAGAGTTGGATAGTATAATGCCTTGTATACTAAGTTATAAATATAACATATCTGTAATTATTCCTGTGTCTGTCCTCTTGTATGTATTTTAAGTTTATATCAGTGTCTCTGATGCTAATCCAGGATATGGGAGGATTTTAATATAGCATGTTAGCCTGACTATATTTTGGTTAGAGTTTTTTTTTTTTTTTTTTTTTT